GACTGGAGTTCAGACGTGTGCTCTTCCGATCTAAATATTTCTGTTATTTTAATTATTCTCATTTATTTCTTATTATTTATTGTTCAATATATTGAACACGCGCGTATTTGTTATGCATAAATCATATGCACGCGTGTCACGTCAGCATATAAATTATATAATGAAAATCTTTAACTATTTCCATCTCGCTGCCAGAAATCGCCCGAAATCCTCTTTCTGAATTTCGGCAACGCAGCGAGACAAAAAACGGGACGGGAGAGAGGGGACTGTGTCCGTGAGACAAACAAACTCGCCGCTCGAGCTCCGTGTTTGTTAGCTGGTGGTGAGACAAGGACGACCGAGATTGATGTCCGTCCTTTTCTAACTAACCTACTCGCATTCCTGCACATAGCACGGAACACAACCGTGGACATAGCACGGATCACCACCAAAAGATCGTGGACATAATCGACAAAATCGTGGACATTGGCTACGTAGTTCAATGTCCACTTGTCAGAGGCGCTGAAACCAGCTCAATCGCCGGTCCCCGCTAAATCGCGGGCATGGCCGCTCTCAGGATCCTCTCTGGCGCGGGGGCCCCCGGCCGCGGGGGAAAAACGCCGCTCCGTGGCCCTGTGGGTGCCGGTAGGCCCGGTAGCGCCGGGCGCGCCGGGCTCCGGCGGCAGGAGGCACGGGGCCGATCACAGCGCCCGCGAAAACGCGTTGTCAGGTTTGCCAGCGTCCGCCGCCGCGGCGACAGAGTCAACATCCGGCGACGCAGAGATGCGCACGTTTCGGCGCTCGCCGAGGGGAGAAGGACGCCGCGATCGCGATTTCGGGACATGAAAGTGAGATGAATGGTCGCGATACGAGGACGAGAGCCTGAGGAGCGCTGGGCTTCCGGGACAGGACAATCCGCGAGGGCGATTCGAAATCCGCTGCCTCGTCCGTGCGCTCGTCCACGATCGTCTCTCGGCGTTGTCGCGTACCCGCGACCGTCATCGCCGTCGTCGCCGCCGCCGCCGCCGTCGTCGTCGATCCGTCGAACGATCGCGATAGAATCACGCCGATGCGTCGGGCGCTGCGCGTTCCTCGCGAGTGCTGCTGCAGTTGTAGTATCGAGAGCGGCACGATCTCGTTGTAGAGCGCGTTCCTCGCGCGGGCTCCTACGCGTACTCCCGCCTGACTCGAGGACAATAACGGAGTCGGAGTCGTCAGCATCACCGCCGCCGTCGTCGCCGCCGCCGCCGCTGTCGTCGTCGTCGTCGTCGACCGCCGCGTGCATCCCGCCCCCGATCCGCTTGGCTCCATTATCCCGGCGACACCGTCGCCGCGCCGAGGCGCCGAGGGAACCGTCTCGCGGCTCTTGCATCTGAAGCAGCGGCGGACCGGTCCTTCCCCGTTCCCCCCTGCCTCACGCCCCTCCGCCCTACCGTCGGCGACCCGGCGAAGCTAGGCTTGCCGCGAGACGACAGCAAACACGGCGTGGACACATCGGACACGAGGTACATCGGCGCCGCAACGCTTTTCTCAGCCGCTTCGGCTTGCGAAACGAAATCGCGGGAGGGAGGGGGCGGGAGGGGAAGAAGGGAGAGGGTTAGGAAACGGCCAGAAGTGGCACTGTGCGTGGTCGTGTGCGTGTGTCCTAAAAGGGACACAGGGATATCTATAGAGGACGGAGCGGGAGACCCATGTAGACGGCACGCCGGGGAATGTATGTACGTCGTTCCGAGATACACCCGGCGCTTGGCTGTCGGGAGCCGGAGTCTCTTGCCTCTTGCCTGCGTAGCGAGAGAGGAAGAGGCATTCGGATTCTGAGAGAGAGAGAGAGAGAAAGAGTGAGAGTGAGAGTGAGAGACAAGCGGGGGGGGAGAGAAAGAGAGAGAGAAAAAACGCGTGCTCGTCCGCTCGCTCCGTGAAGGGAAATCAATTTTGGGCGCGTTGAACCCCCCTTTCGGGTCGCCCCGAACAGCGGAGGAGACAACAAAACGCGATGACGTTAAACGAATCTTGCTCCTTTCTTTCTCGGCCCACCCGGCGGATCGTCACGTACGTCGCGGCCGTCGTTTCCTCCTCGAGCCTCCTCGGGCTAGAGCCACGCGCTTACTTACGGGGCGACGCCGTTTAAAAATACACGACGCGCTAGATATCCCGTCCCGGAGTGACGGGACACTTATCCGGCGGCGATCAAGTACGCGCGATGTTTATGTTTCTGCTCGCGGGGGAAGGGAGGGGATGGCCGAGGGTGAGGGGCGGAAAATCGTGTGTTTTGTGTCGAACGGGACTCTTTGTTGCACGGTACATCGCCACCCCGTCGGGAGCGTAACGGGGAGAGACGACCGTTTCTCGGAAGCGTCGCAACTAACACGGTGCATTATCAATTTATATATTTCGGCGCCCCGGATCAGCCACTCGAATTGTTAACTCGTGTCGATTTCGGCTCACGCCAACAAGGCTCGTTTGCTCCGCTCTATTTGTTTTGCACACAGATGACATTAGTTTAGACAAACGAGACTCCGTTCTTCTCCGTTCCTCCTTTCTCTTGCAAATTTACGTTTTACGCATCGATTATAGCGAAATGATGATTGAAACGCGATGTGTATTATTTCAATTACCATACTCCAAAATTATTCTTGCTTTTATAACGCTTCTATAATCCTTCCTTTATCTGTTGTCGTTAAATTAATCATTTGCAAAAAAAAGTCTACGTGTAATTGAGAATACGTGTGTGTGTGTGTGTGTGTTTTTTGTCGCAGAGTCATGTCGTCAGGAGCAGGCTCCAGTGGAACTGGGCGAGGACGTGGTTCCTCCTTGGCAGACAATAAACCAGACAGTAAAGAAGCGAAGCCAAATCCAAAGATGTCGAAAGCTTTAGGGACGTCCGCTAAGAGGTAATGCAATAGACTCCTGAGTTTTGCAACGCGACAATTGCATGTATTCATATTAACAGTGAACGTAACAATAATTTGTGTTCATTGAATTTTATCAGGATACAAAAAGAATTGGCAGAAATTACGCTGGACCCACCTCCCAATTGCAGGTATGGTACTGTTGTTATCAATCATCATCCTTTATGAAATAATATTTTGGAATTATAGCTAAATATAATATAAATTATATGAAACAGTTTACATGTTTCACAAGAATAACATGTAATAAATTGGTGATTAATTCGTGTTACAGTGCAGGACCAAAGGGTGATAACTTATACGAATGGGTTTCTACCATATTGGGTCCTCCAGGTTCGGTTTACGAGGGCGGTGTGTTCTTTCTTGATATACATTTCTCGCCAGAATATCCTTTTAAACCTCCTAAGGTAAGTTAATGATTAATTTTATACTGCATCGCGACGACACTCGTACAGAATTATAACAACGTCGAAGTAAAGAAAATAAATGAAAACTTAAATAAAAGTATTATTTGAAATAATATCTTTAATCCGTATAAAAAACTTGAAGTGTCAATATGTTTTAAATAGACATTTACATAATATTTATTACATGATAAATATCTGCAAATAGACTAGTAAATATCGTATTAATTCCATTGCATTTATAAAGTTAATCATATCATTTATTTTAGCAAAATAGATGTACATTATACATAGCTATTATGTTCCAAACAAAAATGTGTTGCTTTACAGGTTACATTCCGAACGCGCATCTACCATTGCAATATAAATAGTCAAGGAGTAATCTGCTTGGACATATTAAAGGATAATTGGTCCCCTGCATTGACAATTTCGAAAGTCTTACTGTCAATATGTTCCCTTTTAACAGACTGCAATCCAGGTGGGCTTATTATTCATGATAATTTATTGAAATCTGATGTACGATACGTACATTATAAATAATGATTGTATTTGCGATATCTTATTAGTTCTCGAGATAACGAATTCTTTAGATATTGCATTATCGTTTTACACAATTATTACATGGATCTTACATAATTTTATCTTGCAGCTGATCCATTGGTAGGTAGTATAGCTACGCAATACCTACAAAATAGAGAAGAACACGATCGCATAGCGCGGCTTTGGACCAAACGCTATGCCACATGAGCATATTCTTAATTCATATTAAACTCCTATTAGTCTCATGCCAACTTATGATCATTGCTGCTCTCATACAACTTGTCTCATATGTAGCCTGTACACATCTTTATCTATGATCATGTTGGTCAGAAAACACAAGTGAGCGAAGACCGTTTGAGATCAGCTCAAACATGATTGTGATGTGCTTTTATGTAGAGTATGTAATGTGCCTAAGACGGATGAATGTGCGTGCAAGTGTTTAAAAACAAGTGTGCTAGGGCATAACGAGACAGGAGTTTTTCACTTAAAAAGTTACAATGAGATAGTATTTAAATGGATTGTATTGTTCACAAAACAATACCAGCCACAATGCTGCTAATGTTTCTAGAATAGGAGATAACATGAACAATATTGATAATCTAAAGTGTAAGTAATTAATAGATAGATATATAGGCGATAAGACGTAAATGTAGAGGCCCATTTTTCCATAATTAGCTCCCATATTTTTATATTGAATTGCGTTAAATTTAAATTATTATGTTCATATACATGTTGACGCCTGACTCAAGATATAGGCTAATTGCATGTAACTGTAACTATAATTTAACTGCTGCAAAACTACCGTATACATTTTGTGTTCATAATACAATAATTGTAACGTTCTGCATGAAGCAGAGGTCGGTCATGCTTGTGCTATCAGACATAATTCAATTGTCTGGGCCCAAAATATATTGTAACTGTAAATAAATATTATTTACTGTATACTTATATACTGGTACATTCAAGAAACTTGTAATTCTGACCTGGATTTATATTCTGTCTATACTCTATATATGTATATGTACATTGATGTTTTAATAGTGATTGCACTGATAATCCTCATTCACAAAATTCTGATTAGCGATTTTTTCATTTTTTTTTTTTTATAAATCATAGTTTAATTTAGGTTTTAATGTAGGTAGAGAAAGAAAATTTAACGATTGTGGCGCTAACCAATGTTGGTGCAATCCAATTGCGTTCTTAGACTTTTCATATTATTTTATTGTATCTGAAGGGATACTTACATATCAATTTTGTTGCGTACTCGAACGCAAAAGTCCGAGTATGCTAGAGATACTTTCATTGTTTTCAGTGTGTCAGGTATACATGTACGCCTCCTGAATAATTTTTCGTAGTTTTTTATATCTTATGACAATTAGATCAACAAGGTGATTAAAATCACTTTGTACATATCTGTTCTAATATATATACATATGTATATAAATATTATATATATATATATATAATATTTTATATATATGTATATAGTTGCTTAAAAATATCAGGTAGTGTGAATGTAATTATAGTTGATAAAAAATGATAAAGTGAAGGAGAGAAGCTTACTTGGCCAATACCAATATTGTACAGTTTATTGTGTAAAGTAACACTTCACATCCTTTTTGTCGCAAAATTCGAGGAATGTAAATATTGCGTGAAATGCATGTGCAGAATATGCGAATCGCGTAAGTTCCTACTATGACAAAAATTGAATATTCTTGGACTTTAATTTAGTCGACGGACTTCGGCTTCTTATATTTTGTAAGCCAGTATGCAGTTTCAACTTTATATGAGATAAAGTAGATAATGAGACTTGATTCTGCGTCGGGATTGTAAATAGATCCATTATACATAATTAAGATATATTACATGTACATGCCCGCGTGCATTTGAAAATTATCAGAATATTAACAAAATATAACGGATCTCGTTATTTCTAAAAATATCATGTATACGTTAAATAACTGATGCAAACGAGAGCACGCTCTTTTAGAACCGATCTGAGGCGCCTTAGTCTCTTGTAAAAAAAAATACTGAGAAGCAAGGAGAAAGCCATTGTGGCATTTATCTGGTTTCGATGATCTAAACTTACAATACGCCGGGAAGTCAGTTGATCCATGAACACTCTTTTCTGTACGCGTATAAAAAGTATAAATGTCAAACGAAGAAGAAAAAGCAAATGTACGAAGGTCAGTCTTGTATATGGGTAAACAATCTTTTAATGATATAATGAATGAAATACAATTTATTATACGCTCTCTTCGGTAGTTATTATTGTTACCTTTCCTTATCTTAAAGATACTCTTTAGTTGTATACTGCGAGATTTCAATTTAGATCAAGATTTGTAAAGATAGAGATGGGAAGGATTTTCATTAAAAACAGTATTTAGTGTCATTAAATTTATTAGTATACATAAAAGCTAGATGAATATGTGCTAAGGACATGTTGGCTCCTAAAATGCCGTAAATTATAGTTATATTGTAATAACAAAATTACATTTGTATTACTTTACTGACTAATAATTTCCGTTTATAATAAAAAAAAAACAGCCAAAATAGAATTTAGTATAAAATCATTTGTATATGTGTATATTTTGTGTGCATGCATGTGTGTATGCGTGTGTGTCTGTGTAATATATATAATATGTATATATTGTATGTAAAATACCAATGTTAGTTAATACTGATTACAATAATCTTCGTCAGTCTTTTGCGTTGTCTGGTACAACTAATACATGTATACAGAGTCTAAAATTTTCAATTAAAATCTCTGACAAACACAGATGATTTTATATAATCAAAAGGAGCAAACGTTTTTGGACAAGTGCTAGTTTCGAAGCTACATTGCGCATGGTCGATTAGATTAATATCATTAAAATGCTTTCTAATCTCTATTAACTTATAACATAAACGTTACTATGTTAGGCACACTTTAATATCTCATAGCTATTATTTCTATGTTTCTGCAATTATGGTTATCCTACGTACGGACGTTCATGTTTATTTCTGAGATCTTGTGCATTTGCCACTGTGTATGTGCGTGTGTGTGTGTGTGTGTGTGTGTCTGTGTGTATGTGTGTGCCGATGGTAAATTTAAATTATCTCAACATTATTGTAAAATAGTAAATATATCAATACTCTTTGTTCTTACATATATAAATTATTTGCAATAAATACGTTTCTCCATTTTTTCAGACATATACGTTCTAATAACGTTCGGTATATATGTCTAAAGGAATGTTATAAATTTTCATGCATTTGTATACACAAGACTACAGAAACTTACATAATTTAATTTGAATCGTGGTACTTGAATTCGTGAAATCGACAAGACGCAGTGAAATTTCTAAATTTTTTTTCCTTTCATCTCTTACGTATAAATCTAAAAAGAGTACTGTACATTTCAATTATGTACTTAAACACACATAATGTTATTTAATGGCATCCAATCCAATCCAATTGACATCAATTTCAAGTTTTATTTTAAAAAATGTTTCTCTCCTTTAAATGGAAGCAAATGAATATAAGTAGTTTTATACATTATCATAATTCATTCTCATTTAATTCCTTTTCCAATATCATTGAAAGCTCTTTCAATACTGGACAGAATGGAATTCTAGGAATAAAGTTCAAAAAAGTCAAAAGTCTTTTCACAGGTTTTAATATATCACATAATTGTTCTGAACTGTTTATTTCTTTTCAGAAATAACTTGTTACTCAGTAAAAATAATGTTAATCTTTTTTGCTTTGGTCCCAAATATGAATGAACTTAGCACTAAACATGCACAAATGTTTGTGTAGCAATAGACTGTCAATAGCATATAATACAATGAAGCGCAAGAGAATCAATATCAGAGTTCACTGACATTACAAGCTAAATTATTGACAGGATAGAGCTAGCTTCCATTTGATACTCCATTTAAATTGAGCTAGATGTTAAGATGCGCTAATTTTGTTACAATCATTGGTACATAATGTACAGAATTTTTGTGTACATCTGATATTACATAATGACACTATATATACACGCATACGTATATATATTTCACGGGGCACCGTCGATTACGAATAAGAGTACACTGCCTTTTCTTTTTTTTTTGTCTTCGTAGAACACAGAAAATCATTATAAATTTAATATAAGATTACTACAACATCGTATATATTATAAGTATTAGAGACTATTTTGTCGAGAGAGAAAAAGATGAGGAGGCATTAAAAATAGATGCCAAGACTGCATGTACTCAAATATAATATATATACTATTTTATGGTAATATTAAATTATAAGAGAACACAAGTTTGTTTGCAATTAACCGCGTTACACAATTTGTTCATTCTGCACTCTGAGGAAGATTATGCAGAAATAGCTTGTTCTTTTACTTTTCGTTTAAACCTGGCAAAAAATTAAGAGGAATGATGGCTACGTTCAATGCTATTTCCTATAATGGTACAGAAAATTGTATATAATTCGCAAAAGATTACCAAACTTCGTACAAACGTATCACATGAAAAAATGGATCAGACATTACATCATGGCACATAATTTAACAGGCACCTCGTCGTACATGTGCCAAAATTGATTAACGTTCCATTGGTAATCTCTGTAAACGGGTTCGTATACATTTTTTCGACTAGTTGTTCCGTTTCCTTTTCTTTTGCCTTCATATTGCATGTGACATATATTTTTGGCAGATATTGGCAGTAATTTGATGTTAAAATTTAACGGGATATGTTAATAATTAAAATTTAATAAGATATGTCAATAATCAATGCATATTGCTTATTTCGTTTTTTTTTTCAATTTATAAGAAAAAATGAGCAAAGAGAAACGCCAATTTGCATTCTCTCAAAAGTCGGCAATTTCACATGCATTACATAGATATACATACCGAAACATGACTAACTTAAGGTATCGCTGTACACTAAATACTTGTGACATCATTCCTCTTTGAGTATATACTTGTAAGCACAATAAGAATGATTACGGTTGTAATGAATCTACAAGTATTTATTAATCAATGTATGATGAACAATATTATGAAAAAATGCCTCCTAATTGATGGCAGATCAGTGTGCTGTGGTTTCGCTGTAAGTAAAAATATTAAATCACTAGGTATGAACATAAAATATTTGGGAAAAAAAACATCTAGTTTTACGCATATTAATAAGCAATATAATTTCGTATATGTATAGTACAAACAACGAAAAAACAAAAGATAACACTTCGTGTGATACTATTTTAGTAGATTTTATTAACAAGTATTTTATATATTGCCAATACCGGCTCGAAACGACACTTTATAATCAAGTTGAAGCAATTTCTATTGCTGTTGAACTGAGCATAAGTCATCTGGTTGAAATAATTTCATTATGAATATTACGCTTTACTATAATTCTCATATAACATGAAACAACTATTACGTTTTATCTATTTCTATATACTTATACATCTCGTAAGACATTTTTCATGATTGTAACGCTATGTAAACTTTACATTGTGATAAACAACAAAATATCTTAATGTTATATTATAGAGTACTTCTTGTTTGTATTGAACGCACAGCACGCGCGCGGCAACATATACGTGTAGTTAACATGCAATTGCAAATTGAGGCTAACACTTCTCTTTATGCCTTTCAACTTGTTAAACAAGGAAATTTTTCATTAATCTGAAGAGTATTATTTAGCCACAAATTAGAAGTATATAAAAAAAAAGAAAACAAATTGCGCATTGACACATGTTACTTTCAATCACAGTTTCTTTGCAGTTCACAAGTATAGTACATCCTATTAATTGGTTAACGTATAATTTTCTCTTTGAATGGATTATATAACATGCAATATATAAAGGAAATGCCCTTCATCATACACCATTGGGTTAATGCTGAGAAGATATTCATATATCTTAATACTTCATTTTGCGTCTTGAATTATCTAATTAGTGGCTTTCTTTACATTATATCGTAAATTTTATTTGTCAAATAAGATGTATACATACACACACACACACACACACACACACACACACACATTTTTTTAAGGACAAACCTTAAATGTTGAATTGACTAAAATGAGCACGTATATTAGGCCTGTTTTTTATAGCTGAACTGCTGCACCAGTTCACAGTTTATTTTTCTCTTTCTACATTGGAAGAAGAAAGATAAACTCTGAACTAGTGTAGCTAATTCAGCTATAAAAAACAGACCTATTAAAATAATGACGAGATGACTTCTATGGTCGTTTGAAAATATTATAGATATACTGGAATATGATCTCATAAGGTCATGACATCGACCCGAAAGCAAAATGTGAAGTCTTAAGATATATGAACACTCTTAAAGTTGAAGATGATACTGTTGAATATTATAGCAGAGCCTCGACAACAATATCAATATACACTACAACCATGCGAAATATTTATGAAGCAAAAATATAGAAACGACAAAAATACACTTTTGCTAATAAGCTAAACAATTATTCACGTGAAGCAGACATTAAACAAAAAGAAGCTTTTAACGCATTTTATAGTGATTTATACTTTATATAACTTTATCATCGATGTTATGGTTATCGTGGCTCAACTATAAACAGTATCACAATGACACTGAACAAATTAGATGTACATTTATAAAAAACTGATCTCCGAGAGTATATAGATACTCTGTTATCATTAATATACAAAGTTGTTCGAGAGCCTATTGTAAAAACATACAAAACATACGTGTGTGACATTTTTATGTCTGATAGATAAGGCCCAGATACCAAAATAGCAGTGAGAGTCTTTTGAGATTCTTTGGAGATCTTTAAATCGTTTTTACCTATCACGCACTCTTTGACGAAATTAAACGGCTTCTTTGCAATGTGTTAAGAATAGAAGCAATAAAGGAAAGAAATTTTTTGTATATATAATTGTGCATGGTTAAATGGTAACGAAATAAGGGGAAAAAAATAGTGGCAGCTTGTGTAATAGATCAGGTTTTATACAAGTGCATTTTAGGCTTGTTGCAATGAAAATTTGTGTATCTATCAGCTTACACAGTCTCATACTCGCGGCGAATTGAGCGAGCCAGACAGCACGCAAAGACTACTCCAATCAACTGAAAACAAAGAGACATTATTGTTTTAAAATTCATTTTTCCAAATTTATCCTTTGCTCGTTAGTATTAATGATATACAATTGGAATGCTACTATATATTGCATTTAATGTTATTTATAGAAATAATATTGTAAATCCTTCTATTTTATGTAGTATACAATAGCTATTTGCATCTAAATCACAAGTTTTAATATAACTTTGTTGTAACGCTAGGATGACAGTTTAAATTAGAACTTACCTGTATGAGGGCTACCCCTATGCCCACTCCTCCCAGGATCATAGCGTTATTTTCTATAGCGGATTGCAGTTTCATCATGCAGCCATCACCGTACACATGAATCGAATTGACATCGCATCGATTTTGAGTAGGAATCTCTTTGCAGCAGGAATCGGGAGCGTTATTATGCTGGAAACTGGGGGACAGACGGGGCCAGTCTGCAGGGCCATTCATACCGCAGCATTGTAACTAAAATCATATTTCAATTGTCATTTAAAATTCGATTATTAATGGCATACAATAAAATTACGATATTTATATCTAGTTACGATATATTATCTAGTTAGTAAGGACTTTTCTGCTTGCATAATGATTTCAACAATATTCTTTCTTACAGCAATGAATAAAAGTTTAAATGTATAATTGTAACATTTTGTCCTCAAATAATTTCATGAACTCACATCGTGCTGCATGATGTCCCATGAACGACGAATATCTGGATTAAGCTCATATTGTCGCAAAGTACCGTTCAAACGGTTTTCCAACATATTAGCAACTTCTCCTCTCATCATGTAACCTGTGATGCCAGCGCCCAATTCCAGAGCAAATATCAGCAGTAGCAGGACCGAGAACTATAGTAAATTAAAATTATTGCACAGGTGTAATATATGTATACAGAATATTAGTGTCGTAACAAACTCTTGTACAAAATTTGTGCTCTTCAATTTAATTATACCCTTTTAAAAAATGTTTCGCTACGCCATATATATAAGTAAAAAAGATATTTAAAAAGATAAGTCAAATTCATGTTACAAAATTCTCATGTTACGAAAAATAAAAATAATAGATTTTAATTAATAGTAATAATCTTAATAAGTATAATTAATAATTTTAATAAATAAGTGTTTTAATAAATAGCGTTTTTAGGCTCATACCGTTATTATCATGCAATGATTCTCCTTTACAGCGCCGCAACATCCAAAGAATGATACGAGGAAGACTATGATACCGACTACTATCATTAAGAGTGGGGCTGCGAAGAACCAACTATCCACAAAGTTGCTGTACCCGCTGTAAACAACCAGAATCACGCCGCCCACCGAAATAAATACGATGCCGGTGATCTGAAACAATAAAATGTGTTTGCTGTTAGTCTAATTTTCATTGGCACATTTGGTAACGTATTCATTATCTTTGTATGCAACATAACATATTTAATCATTTTATATGTGCTACAAAAAATAATATATATAAATAAATAATGTAATTAATAATATATACCTATATATATTTATAAATATTTATTTATCTATTATCTCAATTTTGTTTTGTACACAATGTACAATAGTTTCATATTCTTATATACAATTTCATGTTTTGCTACTATATAATGATAAGATATAAAAGATACGATAAGACAAAAATTATAGTATCTTCTTCAGTGTAAAAACTTGCCAAACAACTTGCACTATGTAAAGTCTTAAGTCGAAAAAAGATAAGATTAGTAGTAAAAGTGTTGTTTTTTAAAGAGATGCGAAAAGCATGCTTTTTTAAATTTCTTATATCTGCGTTGCGAATTTATGTTAAATATATATGTTTTTCTGCCACATCACGTTAGCGCTTACTTTCACAAAACACGCTTCCGAAGTGAAATCTTTAATTAGAATCGTTACATTAAAACTCTACGATTTGAGAAACATGTACTGCCCATATTATTTCGCAAGTACATAATTAACGAAAACTTTAGCGCGCTCATCAAACTTGATATTGTCCTAGAAAAAGCATTTTTCTGCTTCCTTCCAGGGATGAGTTACGATCGACATCTCCAGCAGATAGGACATTCAATACTTTTCTTCCGTGCTAATAGCCTAGCTTTAAGTGCTTGCTCGCGTAAGAGCCGTATTGTTTACCGACGGGAAGCGCATAAAACTGTTATAATTACGCCGAGTAACTTTCAACGGAATAACTGCGCGAGAACGACTCTCGCGGGTTATGATTACGAAAGCGGCGGCTTTACCAAGAAACGCTATTGTACAAGAAATTCATTGTTGTATGAAAATTAGAAAGGCAAACGTTTACCGTTTTTGTCATCTGACGACCGCCGACGAAAAAAAACTCCGTCAGGCGTTCGCGCGAGTATTGAGTTCGCGTGTCTCTGTAATACGCGTGCGAGTATTTTCGACAAGCGACGGTTTACAAGCCGAGCGCGTGGCCAAGTTCAATGAATCTTTATCTTTACGTTACACAGATAGGACGACGCGAAAAAAAAAAAAGAAAAGAGACGTGCACGAATCGTCGAGCGTGACCCGGTTATCGTTTAATTATTCCAAGACGCGACTGACGCGAGCATGGGACATACATATATATGAGTTTCGGAAATATCGAAAGGCGTACGCTTTCCTGCGTGCGCTTCCTTGCAGGAAGACGCGAGCCTCTATACCGGGAGGAATTCGTCGACGGCGCCGCGGCGGCCCGTTCACGCTACTGGATCTCTGTCTAAATAAAGACATCTCCCCAGCGCACGGTAGCCGACGGACGTTCTCTACGTCGGCCGGTCGGGGGAGAAAGAAAGAAAAAAAAAAAAAAGGCCTCACGGCGCGACTGCGACATCGCGCGCGCCGTAGGGAAAGGCTACACGTCGCTCGTCGCCGCGCCGCACGACGAAGATTATACACCTCTCCCCCTTTGCTCCTATGTGGTTACCTACGTGTCTTTCACCTACGGCTCACCTACGTTCCCCGGGCGCACGTTACACGCGCCCGTAGTAGGCCTCCGAGGTAAGCGAAACCGAGCCCGACCGAGACCGGTCGATTCGCGCTCGCCCTCGAGCGACGCGACTGGTCTCAGCCCGTTGGGGAGACCCGTGTACGCCGTACGCTAACAGGTGACTCTACTACGGCGAACTTTATGTATGAACCTATTGAAAAAGTTTCAGCAACGAGGACGCGCCCAACGCGCGGGCAATCCATACGATCTGGGATGCCCTAGAAAGCGAAGTGTAGAAATACGGACGGACGGGCGGGCGGACCGACGATGCCGTATATATAATACAGGCGCATGTTGTCTCCTCTACGAAATTTGGTCTGGTCGCGTCTTAACTAATTATGGATGTCGAAAGCGAGGATGTTGAAAGAGGACTTGCTCGCAAATTAATTCTTTCGTCGTATACGGATTCTATCCGAGGTCTTTTAAATCAGGATTCGAGGGGCAGATGGGGAAGAGATCGGAGAACGAACTCGAAGAAATTGAAAAAACGAGCGGTACTTGCGGCCAGAAAAAGAAAACCGACGTTGATTAGCGAGAAACAAAGCTACCCGTCGAGCTCGCTACTTCTTCGCTGGTACGCTCTGTATAAACGCGGTCGCCAACGCTGGCATTTCACGCTGGACGGATCATTAAACGTTACAATATAAGGGACGCGCGACCGGCACCCCGCCCCTGCCATCCTTTACACGAGTTGTTTTTGTGTCCTTCCTCGTCCGTACAGCGACGATGTTTTGTCATGTGTGCGATGCGAGTCTCCTGAGACAAATGTGGCTTTCGATAGTTTCGTCGTATCGCCTCAGAGAACTTAAATAAAGTCTACCCCC